GCCTCTTGTCCTACTGCTTGGCACCACTGGCACCACCAAGAAGAGTCTGTCTCCCTCCTCTTGGCACTGTCCCTTCAGGTATTTATAGCTGTTGAAGAGGTCTCCTCTCAGTTGTCAGTTCTTGAGGCTGAATAGGCCCAGCTCCCTCATCATTTCCTTGTAAGAGAGGTGTTCCAGCCCCTTTGTTGTCCTCTGCTGGACTCACTCCAGGAGCTTCATGTAAGACCTGGCATTTAAACAGACCAAACTGATATACAAAGTTATATACAGTACAGAGGCACGGCACTCAATTTTTTCGTGTACAAATAGCATCCAGTTCAAAATGAAGGGACACAGACAGGAAAAATTATGGATTTTAGATGCAGTCTATTGACTCAGGATCACTGTTGGAGCATGATTTTATATGTATTGGACCTTGCCATTATAGCCAAAGGGGCAGGTGCTGAAGCAATGGACCCAACAGCTGCCACTGCACTAGCTGGAGGTAAAGTTTTCCTTGTTGCCCTGTATCCTCATTAGAGGGGGGAATTCAGTAATTTAATGGCAGACCAGAGCTCTGTGCCTGATGAAAAGACAAATCAGAACAGCATTCACTATCTAGTTGTCCCTTAACAGCCTAAAAACAAAGGTTTCTTCAACAACCTGGAAAACAGAAGGCTGAATGAGTAGCAGTGTTCAGGCAGCATAAAGGTAGAGCTTCCCTGAAACAGCCATGGTGACCCATGCCCAGGCTCCAGCGCAAGCGTTCCATAGAGCTAAAGGACACGTGGGAGTGTCCAGCACTGCAGCCATCCCGTGAGATGGGAGATGCCTGCCCAGCCTCCCCCCTGCCTTCCCTCCATGGAACCTGCAGCCATCCGTGAGCCTGTGCTCACCACAAAACCATAGCTCCTCCTCACTGTCTCGCCTCCCTCACTACAGTGAAGCCACAACCAGTAGCTTCCTGACCTCCCATCCAGGAGCCTCCTGGCAGTCTTCTGCCCCCATGCATGCCCCAGACAAACCCCAGATGCTTCATACAGCCATCCACTCTCTTTGATGCATCTCGTGTGATTTGTAGGGCTCTTAACAGTAACACAGAGGTTTATGGTTCTGTATGAGTTGCTACTGGATTAGTCACATATGCACTGAACTCCTTTGCATCTCTGGCGGTAACAACCTGAAGCATTTTGCAAACCCTAGTCCAGTCATCTCAAGGCAACATGGATGTTTCAAGTGCCAGGACAAACCTAAACCTTCTTTCACTAAGACCCCTGAGTCATGGTCACTTGGACAGATGCTGCTCTTATTTCTGGTGTAGGCATTGTCTAAAGAGTCTGATCTGACCTAGATTTTGCCATAGAAGCTATCAGAATCAACCATCTCCTCTACTTTTGTGGATACAGTCCTAATCCTCAACATGCTCAGGCACCTATGGACACTCATTTTTCTCTCAATCCTGGCCTTACAGTCCTGCTGTTAGGGATTTAGCATGAGCAGAAAGCTGTGAAGACTCAAAGCTCAGTTTCCGGGAGCATGATGGTCACATTCACTTTTCAGCAATCTGCCACTCTTCAGAAGGATTAGGATATCCTCAGATCCAGAAAACAGGAGGCTGAACCAGGGAGAAACAGAGTTTCCACGGAAAAAGCTGCTCTTTTGCTTTGAGAACTTAGAGGTTTTAGAGGAGTTTGTGGCTCACAGAACATCATGCACTGCTGTTGCGTCATAGCAGGAGTCCCAAGGAGACTGAACCAAGGCAGAAGCACTACCACAGAACAGTTATTCTGTGAGAATCTGTGAGATTTCTGATGTGTCTGAAGTTTCTCTGGAAAACAGCACATTTTCTAACTGTAGGTAATGTTGTTTGCTTAGAGTCTTCTGCATCCTGTTCTGAACAGAGATCCCCAGCATATGAGCACTGGGCTTCAGAGGGTACGTAACAAACGAGCAAAAAGTCAAACTCCCAGAGGGTGCTTTATTCTTTGTGAATTGTTGGAGCTGTTCTTTGTAATGTACACATGCTTTAGCAATCTGTGACTCCCAGAAATGGTGGGACTCTAAGAAATAAAATCAGATCAATAAAAAGTGAAAATACTCTTCAAGGTCTCTAATTATTCTAATGTCAGATAGTGTTGAAACATGCCATTTTTTCCCACAGGTATTAGCAGTGATCTCATTGAACATTTTGTTCAAAACATCCATGGCACTGAAAATTTCCAATCCAAAATGAAATTATTTACTGCTACCCACACCAGAGTATGCTGCATGGAGGAATGACAGAGTGAAGAGACACCTTAAGTGTAAATTCCCAGATTTTTTTTTAATTAAAAACCAGAACAAAATTAAGTACCAGACATACTTTCCAGGCCCAGAGTGAAGAGGAATTGATGTTTAACTTTTATGGGTTTGTATGATTAATCTTGCAGCCACTCAGTTGAAACTTTATGAATGCTGAGAACGAAGTATAGGTATATCAATGTCTGCACATGTTAAGCACACTTATGATTTGAATCAATTCACTAAATTGAGCACATGGAACTTACATGGTTTGTTCTGGAAACAGAAGTTTTTCCAGACAGAAAGATGTGAAAACTACGTCCCTATCTAATGCAATTCAGTACATCTGTGTGTGATTACATAAACATGTCTCAGACCACAGAGCACCACAGCCAAGTCTCATAGCAGTTACATTCATTAAACATCAGACCATGTGATCTTCCCTGGACCTTCAATATTTGCCTGTTTGTAAGATTTACTGAGTATTCCCTATATTTTCTATTTAAAGCAAGAGTGGCTGAGTGAAAATCAATGACATTGTCCTTGAATAAATGACAAGTCAATGTTTCAGGGCTGAGCAAGCATGCCTGAAGTCACTAACAGAAAACAAAAGAACTGAAAAAATCTTGCTGCTGTTACATCAGTTACTGAAAGAGGACTTAAACATAGTTTACCTTAAAATGTCTGCGGTCATTTTACCTTCATATAACTCCATCTCATGCACAGATCAGCCTTTTCCCATGAGCTCAGGATGCTATTTTCTGTTATTTTCCTTCAGGGATCAGTAGCTAGAGTTGCTGCAGAGGACATCCTAATCAGTACTTTTTGAGTAACCATAGGAATGCTAAGCAGAGGTGATTTCCAATTTGCAGATGTAGTAGCCCTTAGCAGCAAGCACTGTCTTACTGAAGAAGACTTCTGCATGCCTGAGGTTGTAGGTCTCACCCACAGAGATGTAAATCTTGTCAGATCACCCTTTGCTTGAAGCTTTGATTGCTTTCAAGTTAATCTTGGTTCTTATAGCAGTATCTGGGCAACTAGCTGAGGACAGGACAGATTTTGTAGGCAACTACAGGAATTTTGCATCCCAAAAAGATGTAAAATCTGGTTTACAATGAAGATACAGTAGATAGGCTGCCACAGGACTGGAACAATCAGTTCTGCATTCTGAAGGCCTGCTCTCTAATCAGTGACTCATGTATGTCATCCCTTTTCTACCATCAGGAGAAGACACATGCAGTTTGAGCACATTGTTTCAAGACTGCAGTTGTCCAGCCATAGCCTATGCATAGGTGAAAAAAATACTAAGGCCTGTCACTTTAACTGGTGTATAGATGCTAAACCATCTATTAGAGCTTGTAACAGAACATGCTTTTGGGTCACTTCTTGCAAACACTTGGTAGCTTGCTTTGAACAGGTAGGAGATGAAATCCAGCACTTTCTGAAGTTAATAGCCTGCTGAGTACTTCATAAAAAATTTCAGCATTGAAGTCTAGTCTTAGAACAAAATTACAATGCTGAGTGCAAAAACAAGGTCTGTGTGGTGACAACTTTCTAAAGAGAAAGCATCTCACCAGCCATGACAGCAAGAGACCTTCTCTAACTGATGCCAAAACCTTTGTTATTAACCATACCTGTGAAGCTATACCTGTGTACCATACCAGCAGCTATAGCAGACAGTGTCATCACTGTGTTGATAGCACACAAGCAAAGATCAGACATGAGAATTGTCTCTGCTGCTTTCTGGTTGTTTAAGAAATATGAGTGCTTTAAGTGGGCTTGGTGCTTCATAACAGGCTTTTATGCTGCTGGAGGCACCGATGGCTTGCATAGCTGTAGGTAACCTCCCTAGAAATTTCACTGCAGGGTTTAGAAATGCTTAGCCATTTCAGCTACTGAAATTTAAGTATTGTGCAACATATGTCTTTTCACTTGATGCATGTATATGCAAAAGTGACCTCTAGATGCTCCAGCAAACCAATGAAATCAGACTATTTCACAGTAAAAACTTATGGAGGGCAGGGGGTGGGGAAGAAGTAATTTGAGCCTGGTTCTGTATAATAAAATAGTTCTAATCTGGAAAACTCTGTTGTGCAACCCTGTCCCTTTCCAAGGATGAGTGCTTGGTGAACCTGCAAATTGACTATTCCTATGACTGGGGCCTCCAAACGCCGATGTCGGCAAGAGAGTCGAAAGTTTCACAGGACCAGAACTGTGGCTGCTGCAGAAACACCTGCACACCGCCACCGCGCAGACCGAACGCCCCGCCCTTGCCCGACGTAGCCTCCGCGGCCGGCCAGGCTCTGTTAGGGAGAGTGAGCGGCCGAAAGCCGGACACGCGTGGGACCCGCGGCTGGGGCGGGACGGGCACACCTGGGCCCCGCCCGGCGAGGCACGCAGGCCGGGCGGGGGCGGAGGGAGCGGGGGCGGAGGGAGCCCAGCCGAGCCCAGCCCAGCCCAGCCGAGCCCAGCCGAGCTCAGCCCAGCCCAGCGCAGCGCAGCCCGGCCCAGCCCGTCCCGTCTCGTCCCGTCCCGTCCCATCCCACTCCGCTCTCCTCTCCTCTGCTCCGTCCCTCCCCCGTCCCACCCCTCATTCCTCCCTCCTTCCCTCCTTCTCTCCCCTCCTCCCTCTCTGTGCGCGCCGGCGGCGGCGGCGGCGCCGCGCTCCCTCTAGCCGCGCCCGCGCAGCCCCCGCAGGTAAGCGCGGCGGGCCGGGGGCGGAGCGGGGCAGGGGTCCCGCAGCTCTCGCCCGCGAGAAGGTGCTCGCTTCCTATTCCGCTTCCCATTCCTCGAGGGCTCCGTGCCCGCGGCGCCGTTCGCCTCCTCTCTTTGGCTGTTTTTCTCGTCTTTCCGAACCTGGTCTCCGTCCCGCGGCGCGCAGCGGTGCGCCGGGCGGCGAGACTTGTCGGGGTCCTCTCCGGCGAAGGGCTCCTTCGGGATGGGCTCGAGTGGATTCGAGGCGTCGGGTTAGGCTGCTATTCCTGCTGAACTAACGTCTCCGGGGCCGGCCTGGAATAAGTGATGGGTGCTTGTTTGATTAAGGAACACTAACAGGACTTACTTAGGATCTGGCCTCGTATTTTCTTTTTTCCCCTTTTTTTTTTTTTTTTTTTTTTTCCCTTTCCTCACCCCTTCCACCCCGAAATATCTTTGGATTTATTTATACCAAATTAAGGCAGTGGAAAAAGTCCTAGATAAAAAATGGTTGTCGCCTCTCTCTCCTGACTTCCTCAGACTTTCGGACGAAGAGCCTATTCAAGTCCGATGGGAGCAGTGTCGGTGTATCCGTGGTGTTTACAAAGGTAAAGGACAGGGAGAAGATGAATGACAAGCATAAGGGTGTGATTTATTAGAGAAAGACCGGGGGCGGGAGGGAGCAGGAGGGAAGCTAGAGGACAAAAGCCGCTAGCAAACTGATGTGAGAAGACAGAGGTGGAACCAGAGGGACCAAGTTTCTTCCTCTCACTTATTTTCCTATGTTCTTTTAAAATAGCTTCACAGTGGGAACCATCCCAAAAATCTTCTTCCTATGGAAGTATGTGAAAAGTTTTCATTTTCACAAAAATGTTGGAATGTCTAAATTTAATTTACTTGGGGGTACCTGTGTGAAACAAGTTCACACCTTCATGATTTCAGTTGTCTGTGGATGTTAGAAGCTGCCTAAATCCCCCCTTTCTTATTTTTTTTTTCCCATCCTTTTTTGCTCCAGGTTTGGGTTGGTTTTCTCTGTGGTTTTTTTTTTTTTTTTAAATTGTTGTTGGTTGGGGTTTTTCGTTTGGTTTTTTGTTGTTGTTGTTGTTGTGGGTTTTTTTGTTGTTTTTTTTTTTTTTTTAAGTTTCATGGTAAAGTAATTTGGGGGAAACCCTGTAGGCAACTTTTGCTCTCAAAGTGTGGAGGAACTGCTGCAATTCTTATCTTTTCAAAGGAAGTTTTTGGATGCTAGTTCAGGTTTCATGTGTTGTACCATTTGGTCTAAAATGAATCACTCTCAGGTCTGGGAGTCATGTTTCTATGTGGTCGCCAGGGCTGTGTGCCGTGCAGCCTGTTACTCTTGTACGAGGATAGGCTATACTGCAGTACTAAAAAAATATTTCTGGCAATTTCAGCAGTGGACTGAAGCAATACTCTGTGCACAGGCGTAAGTGAAGCTCTGCCCTGCAGCTTGCTATTGTTGGCTATAGGCATGCTGCATGTTTTTCCTTAACTGATACGGGCTCAGACTTACAAAGCAACTTGATAGCCTGTGTTTTACTGTTGTTTTTATTAAATATTAACCACCAAAATTAAGTGCTGTTAGTTCCAGAATAGATTGACACTGTCTCATCCTGTGCAGTTGTACATGAACAGTGGTTGTTTTCCTTTTTGTACAGTAAATAACCAAGGAAATGTTATTTAGGAATACTAAAGCACTGCTGCATGATCAGTGTGGTGTTGTCTTTATCACTCCCTATTACAGATTGCAGTAGTTAGACCCTTGGCTGCTGTAAACCTTGTTCTGAGAACTTAGCAGTAGTGGTGCTGGTTGAAGACAGGAAAACATTGGCTGGTGTCTGCTTTCTCTTCCTTTGCTCTTCAAAACAAATATTGAGGGTCAAAAGGTTAAACAGCTTTTGAGACAAAACACATGGAAAATGCAAAATTAAAGTAATGCTACACTGTGTACCCAGCTTTAATATGTGAACTCCACGTGTGAGTAACAGACAATCTTATCACTGTGAGCAAAAATACTTTATGGTCATGTGGTTTTCATCAGTAGCTCTGGAAGACTGTTACTAAAATATAATTCCTTCTCTGCTTAAAAATGAGAAAATTAAAAATCTGTCTTTAACTTGGTCTTACAGTGTCACACAGTTGAACTATTTGGGGAATCCTGGTTGTTGAAGAAAGTGTTTTGCTCTGCTTTGTACTTACATGGGATTCACTTTGATATCTCTGTAATAAGCCCTTAATAACACATTAATGGATAGTTAACTGGTTGTCAATGGCCTATCCATATTGAGCTTGCTTTGTCTCATATTCAGAGATTTAAATCAAAAGACAAGCATTTCTTCTGAGCACTTTATTCCTTTGGGAGACCACCACCATCTTCCCTTTGAATACCCAGCAGTCTGAGCACTCTCAGAGGTGAGCTGCCTTCTCCAGATGTCAGAAGAGCTGGCTTTGAGCACCTCTAGGTGGTGACCTGCCAGCACTTACTGAGCACTGTTGCTGTGTATCTGGCTTTTTTTTATCATATTGATGCAGAGAAAATTGAATGCAGCTCTTTTGCCATCAGGGCTGAGTGGGGAATCTCTTCACAAACCATTGCTTATGGTCTTGGTAATGCTCAAGGATATGTGGAAGAATTTGAGAGTGGTAACCAGTACTGTGTGGCAGTTGTCCTTTTCACTGTTGTTTCCATCACAAAATTAGAATTTGCTACATAAATGCAATTTCCTCCCTTTCAGAAAGAAAAGTGCATGTAATTTAAGGGACACTTAAATTCAGCTTAAATCCATCTAATTGAGATATTTGCAGTGCTCCTGCTACACATAATGCCAGGGGAAAGATGCATACAACTGTTTTACTGAAAGAAGAATAGAGCAATCAATATTTGATCCCTCCAGCATCTTTAGTTATTGGATTAGCTCTTTGTATGTTGTGCATTTCACTGCTTTATCTTTCACAATAGGCTGTATTATTTTTTTCTATCAGTTTAGTAGAGTGAAAAGAAAACCAACTTTTGAGAAAACAAAGTGTGTCTTTTCTTTTTCCATCTTCTCATGTCCTTTCCTTTAAGATTACTTTCAATTTTGGTGTGGTCCTCATTTGTTGCCTTAGGAGTTCTAGTAATTTGAAGGGAGAATGCTACTTTCCAGAAAAGTCTCATGAGGGACTTGAGGCAGTAATGGCTTCAACGAGCAGTGGTTATATAGCATCTGATGTGTTTTTAACTTTTCCAGATGTCACAAGGTGATACTTTAGAGATCTGGCACTCCTCAGCAATGCTGCATTAGGGTTGAACTTACACACTTCATGTTTTCCCCCATGTGTTTTTCTTCACAGCTGAAGCAGAAGCTTAAGGTTTCATCCATGGCCCACAAATGTCAATGGCAAACCTGTATTGGCACTGAATGACTTTGGATCAGGTGCAAGGCTGATGGGTTGCTTTGCCAGAAATAGAAAATTATTCCCAGGGCAGAAGAAAGTTCTGTCAAGGAAATGAGAGCTGCTGTTCTACTTACATATCAGGGAACTTGAATTTTGGTTTTCTTCATTTATATTTCAAGCGTAGTTTCTTTAAAACACGTAGAAGCATTGCCTGTACATTCTTGACTTTCATTGATATACTGGTACATATGACAGTGAACATCTGAATGTCTACTAACTTGGTTAGGTTTTTGTTGAAAATAGGGGAGAATTCTGAGAAGTGCCTGTCTTTGTGTACCCAGATATCTCCTTCTCTCCTCCACTAGTGTTTCTTGACTGCCTGGCATGCTTTCCATACTCCCAAGCTGATTAACAGCACACCTGGTCTGAAAAATCTTGGTAATTGTTTGGATGAAGGTTGTACTCTAGGATCAGTTTTCATTTTTTAATGACTGGTGTCTCTAATTGTCAAAATACTGTTTCTATTTATGCAACGTTGAGCACCAGAAAAGAAAAGAGCCTATGTACTGGGGCTGGTTTGGGTAATATATGTCCCCATCTCACATGGCAACTCCATGACCGTGGCATTTCTCTTATAAGCTCTTGACAAACATCTTTGAGGTGGTTAAGGCATTGAGGTGGTTAAGGCATTGTATTTCGCTACAAAGGAACAATAGCCTAGCTTGCATTAGTGCATAGTGTCCAGAATTTCTTGATAGGCACAGCCTGAAATAGTTTGTGTACCATGTTTTTTGGTTCTGTCCTGATTTCCTACTGGATCTGGATCCTTCTTGACCCAGATACTGTAGGTAGTTAGGTTAGTGCACATAAAGAAGAGTTCACTGGTGCCTTTACCCCAGAAGTAAAGAAGTATTTCTTCTTAAAAAGAAAGTGAATCTTCTCCCTTTGCTTCTGGCAGGCAAAAACAGCCACAGACTTGTGGGGCTGCTGTGGTTCAAGCAGTCTGGGTAAGGCATGCCTGCCCCTGGCAGCAGCACAGCTGGAGAGAGAGAATCATATCCCTCCTCCCCAAGCCACTCCCAGGATAAATAGCCTGGACAGGGTTCTGGCCTGGGGTGTGCAAAGTGTTTTGCTTTTCAAGTTCCTTGAAGATTTGTTCTGGTGGACTTTGTGATGGATAATGGCCTGGCTGCGGGGGAAACAGGAGCAAAGCGTTTTGCCTTACTGTTTCCCACTCATACATTGCAATGTGGTCTGCTGCTGAAATGATGGTAGGCGGTGTAGATCAGTGGCACAAGAAATGTCTTCAGTTGCAAAAATGGGGAGGCTGGATCTCTTTTAGAAGGAGAAATGTTTTGGGAATACAGCTACTGTATTGCAGAGGACTATATGTAGACTTTTGTGCAAACTGAATCACCTTTATTTTAGATTTCTTTTACTTGAAAGAAATCAAGTAAACTTTTTTTTTTTTTTTTCGCTTTCACGTGATATACTCTAGATAAAATTCAGAGGTCCTCTCATTTTCTCATTTTGTTTTTAAAAATACAAAGGTGATAAATATGAGAGACCAATATTATCTTTCTGGTTTTGCTTTTGCTTCTGCTGTGACTAAGAGGCCAACACCTCCTGAAGTGGATTTTTTAAACTGCTGAAAAAAATGTCTATGAGTTTGATATTCATGTATGATAATTCTGTTTGGTGCAGTCCTCATGTTGCCATATTACAGACCATTCTGGCTTTTCTGTAGGAATTTACATGTCACAGTGACCTTGGGGTAGGATGGATTTCACAGGCAGTTAATGCAGTACATCCATTTCTTTGCCAGCTAGAAAATGTATTGCATATTGCAGTGCTTGCAGGAGCAAGCTTGAAAGCGTTGGATTGACATCAAAGGCAAGATCTTTCTGTACAGAATGCTGGAGATTGTAAGAGGGGTAAAAGTCTGGCAAAGGAAATGCATACTGTTTTTCATTGCAAGCCCCTTTCCCTCCCTCCTCCCCACTTTTTTAGGATGTGTATGGCAGATATGAAATGGTGCTGGTACATTATTTATGGGAGCAGAAGTTTTTCTTAGAAGTTTTTTTGCCATTTGAGGATGATTATTTTCACCCTGGTTGGAAAAATATAGCTAAAGTAGTATCCATTTTTATTAAGAAGAAGTTGGCTACAGCGATAAATGTTGGATGAGTATTGAATCTTTACAGCATACAGA